GAATGGCAACACAGGACAGAAGGGCCATAAAATCTCTTAGAGTCTAAGGAAAACTGCAACTGCATCTGTTAGCCTATGTAATTCAACTCAACTAAATGTTAGGGGATGTAACTTAAAAATTAGACATTCCTAAAGAGATCGACACTATCCTGGTCAACACAGTAAAACCTCGTCCCTACTAAAAATACAAAAATTAGCTGGGTATGGTGGTGTGCACCTGTAGTCCCAGCTACTCGGGAGGCTGAGGGAGAATTGCTTGAATCCAGGAGGTGGAAGTTGCAGTGAGCCTAGATTGTGCCACTGCACTCCAGTCTGGCAACAAAGTGAGATTCTGTCTCAGCAACAACTGTGGGGAACATTCCCGTGTGAGACACCCAAAAGGCGTGGGTCTCACTATACGGTGAGTTTGATCCCAAACACAGTTTCCTGTTGGAGGCAGTCGAGCTATCAGGAAAAAGGAACTGAAAGATGAGTGATCAGTTTCTAATATCAACCACGATATTATTTGGGCCTAAAACTATGCGGTGCTGCTAGACCGAGTGACTCCCTGCCATCAACCAGTTTCTGCTTTTAACTTTTTATGACTCTTTCTTTAAGAATAAGCTTTAAACTTTTCTTTACTTGCCTGACTGCCTTGTACCCTAGATAATGGTTTAACTGTGGGGATATTTGCAAAGCAAATGCCACTATACGGATGGCTTTGATCCCTGACTCAGAGACTCCTGAATAGGGGGAGTTGAGAAAAGTTGAGTCAGGAGCAGACAAAGGAGAATCTGGTTAAAAGATATTCTGATGAGGAAAACCAGAAAACCTTTTCACATCTCAGTTCTAAAACAAGATCAAACCAGAAATACCTGCAGCCAGGAGGAATAATGTCTGGATGTAAACAAGCTTTGTGATCACAGGAAATTCTGTTACTTTTTACAACCACTGATTGTGTATCTGACTTTTCTATTGTATAGGCCATGTAAGGTATAGATTTGCATTTCCTCTTGCAACCACTGATTGTGTATCTCACTTCTCTACTGTATAGGCCATGTAAGGTACAGATTTGCATTTCCTCTTGCAATGACATAAACCAGAGCAAAGAAAGTGTATTTATTCCTGGCCTTTGAAAAATAAAGGCTGCTGTTTAGGCACGGCCTATCCAGCCCTCCAGACACCTTGCTTTCTCTGTCTCTCTTGTTTCTTCAAGCGCACGCTCTCTTCCAGGTACTGGGACCCTCTTGCAGGTTGAGAGACCCCCGGCAGACGTGCCATCCCGGACTGGTCCCCAACATCCAACAACAAAAAAACAGGTTCCAGGCAATGCTAAAATCCAAAAAGTGCTTAAAACCATAATAAACAATTGTTTTTACATAAATTGAGTGGCAAAATCAGTCCTGAACTTGAACTGCCTTAGAAGCTCTATGGCCTTTATTACTGCATTGAGCATAAACATTTATGCATCTTAAGTTTCACTTTGTGGTGGCATCCAAAATCCCACTGGGGATGTGATATAACATGTGATGTACTGCAGTAGCTTCTAGAAGTACAAATTATTCCAAAATCTAAGACATATATAGCCCAAAGGTTTCAGATAAGGGAATTTGTACAATCTCTATTTAAAGGAGGGGGAAAAAAAGAAATAGAAATATAAAGAGAGCTAACCTGCCTGAGGCAGAGACTTGTGGTTAACAATTATCTTTCTCAAGTCAGCATTTGCTTTAAAACCCTCAAATATTCTAGTATATGAAAACAATAACAGTGCTTGTAGTATAACATGAAGTTCTTGAAGAAATAAGAAATAGAGATAACATACCTAAAACGCTTCAAACAATGCCCAGCACAATATAAGTGCCCAATAAATGCTGTGTAATAGTAACAGTGCCTAAAAAATACTTTGAACATAGTTCATTGTGTCATAAAAATGGTTAATTTTATGTTTCAATTACATCTGGCTAAGGGATGCCCAAATAGCTGGTAAAACATTTTTCTTTAAGTGTGTCTATGAGGGTGTTTCCAGAATAGGTTAGAATTTGAATTGGACAACTCAGAAGATCACTCTCACTCAAGTGTGTGGGCATTATCCAATCCTCTGAGATCCTGAATAGAACAAAAAGGCAAAGGAAAGGCGGATTTTCTTCTAGAGCAGAGACACACTCTTGGGTCTTCTTGGGACTCAGACTGGGATTTATACCCTTGAATCCCCTAGTTCTCAGGCCTTTGCACTGGAACTCTACCACTGCCTTTCCTGGGCCTCCAGCTTGCAGCTGGCAGATCATGGGGCTTAGCATGCATCATCACCTGAGCCAATCCCTCATAATTAATCTATGTATATATGTATATATCTTAGCTATAGCTCTGTATATCCTACCGATTCTGTTTCTCAAAGTAACTCTGATTAATCACTAGGAAAATGTCTACAGGTAAATACACAGCTCTCATAGTATGCTATGTGCTTTAACAGATATATATTTATATATATATATATATATATACACACACACACATTTTAATCCAAGAGTTCTCTCTTTCCTATGCCTACAGAGGCATTTCTACCATCAGAGATAGTCTTGAGTACAAGTCATAAATGGAATGGGTTATCTCAGGTGAGCAAACAAGCACCACAGCTGGGAGACGATCGTAGGACTTAAAGAATGCAAGAAAGATATTTTTTAGAAACAAATAACCAATAAGACTGAGGAGCAGCCTAGAGGAAAGCATCTGGAATTTAATGTACAAACTAATCAACCAGAGCTCCTGTTAAAATGCAGACTCTCATGGAATGAGGTGGGGCCTGAGATTCTAGTTCTCAGGTAATCACAATGCTGCTGGTCTAGGACATTCACTGAGATTAGGAAGGTCCCACAGCAGTGATCCTCTAAGTATACCAGAAGCATGAGAATGTGCTGGGAAGTTATTAGATATACAAAAAGTTATTATTAGATATACAAAAAGTTATTAGATATACAAACTAAAAAATTTGTTGACCTTAACAGCCATTTACATTAGGCAATTTGGATTATCTTCCCTAAGAATATAAGAAGAACTTGTTTTAAATCCCTTAAAAATAAAAGTAGCAGACCAGAACCTTTTACATAAATAAAAGCCATTTCTACAAACTATTTCCAAAGTCACAGCCCCTACAATTACACTTGAAGTATAGGTTTTACATTTTAAGAAGGCTCTAATAATACATAGGCCAAGTATTGCAATTAGACTTCGCAGTCGAACTCCTTACTAATTGTTGACAAAAAAAATCATTTCCATTTTTCCTAGGTTGTACATACAAAGAAGCTTCATAAAGAAACTAAACTGAGTTTTATATTTCCTGTGTTGAGGACATGACCAACCACAGATGGTTTAGCTGACTTTTCCAAAGAAATGTTTACATATTGCTTGGTTGACATGTAAATATATGTCAACATTTTGATTTATAGCTATAAATGATCTGTTTACATACACATATACAGATGCAAAAGTTATAGTACATTAATTGTTTGAAACAAAATATCCTTGAAGGACAAAGAACTTGAGGGTAAACCACAAATATATTATCATAACCAGAGAAAAGATTTTCATTTTCTGAATGTGAAGTCCACTGATTGTTAAATAAACTGATGGACTCAGAATGCAGATTCAGTACTTTCTTCTATTTCAATAAGAGTTTGAATTTAGAAGTTCATCTCTCAATGAAAAACTGAGCACATAGTTCTAGCCATAATCTATTTTCAAAGAAATCGTTTCTAACATATTGTAAAGTATTACATGTGTTTCAGGTTTGGGGTGAACACTTCTGATTTTGCTATGAGTACGTATTTTAAAATAGTGTTTCTCTATTAGGGGAAATGTCTTTTCCCTAGGCAATGTTTGGCAATACCAGGGAACACCTTTGATTGTCAAAACCAGAGGTAAGGGAGTGAGGGATGGATACTTCTGACAGCTTGTGCGCAGAGGCCAGGAATGCTGCTAAACAACTTGTAATCCACACAACAGTCCACACAGCTTAGAATTTTCCATACTAAAATGCCAATAGAGTGCCACGACTGAGAAAGCTGATTTAACAGGTTACAAAAATATACAAAGACTGTCTCTAGTACATCTTAATTACATTCCTTGCATAGTGTTAAGCAAAATAACAAATACTTATTGCTTGCTAAATAAACTAACTCTATTTAGCTGAGAACTTTGAGTCAGAGAAGAAAAAGTTAAAAAGGGTTATCCCATGTGTGATATCTACAATTACAAAATTGCAGTCGTTGTCCAAACCCAAAAGAAACTTTAAAAATCACCCTGTCCAGCCTGATATATCTAGTTAGGAAAAATAGTGTTTCTCATATAGAAGATGCTATGTTATGTACCAATACAACACTGTTAAGGGGAGAAGGCAATCCTCTTAATAGTAAAAACGGGCTGGGAGCAGTGGCTGATGCCTGTAGTCCCAGCCCTTTGGGAAGCTGAGGCAGGTAGACCAGGAGGTCAGAAATTTGAGCCTGGCCAACATGGTAAAACCCCATCTCTACTAAAGATACAAAGAATTAGCTGTGCATGGTGGCACACACCTATAATCCTACCTACTCCAGAGGCTGATATAGGAGAATTGCTTGAATCTGGGAGGTGGAGGTTGCACTGAGCCAAGATCATGCCACTGCAATCCAGCCTGGGTGACAGAGCAAGGCTCCATCAAAAAAAGTAAAAATGAAGTGAGACCTTTACCAAATTATATAAATCAGTTTTTGCCGTTTTCTTTCTAATAGTATCAATGTACTATACTTTCCTCAAGTTAATAAAGTATTTCCTTTATAAAAATTAAAATCAATGTGACATCATAATAAGTGCTATTTCACAAGCAGGAAACAAGATAAAATATAATTATTTTTTAAAAACAAATCAAAGACCTTGGGGGCCTACAAGCTTTCCTGCTTTCAAGATTGCTGGGATTTAAACAGTCATAAGAAATTCTGAACTGGCTTACATTTTTGAAACACAGGAATTGACAGTCATAAGGCCAAACATACCCTTAATAATCGATTCAGCCGCATACAGATCTCGTTTGTAGGTCACCTAAAGGACAGATAAACTTCATTAGACTTAACAGAGCAGGAAGGAATGTGCAAGCCATAAAATAATGCCCTCCAGGACATTCTTGATTTTTCACAAACTATAAACATGTAATACTGACATTTCCTAAATTAGAAAAGCATCAGCAAATTCACATAAAAATATATTCTATTTCTACAAATGGTTGATTTGTTTTTAAAGCTCTGAATAAACTGAGATATTATATGGCAGTGGTTACTGAAATCTTAATGTAACTCAAGTATTATATTCAAAGAAAATGTGGTAGTGCTTAAACAACAGTGTTAACATGAGTGCATAATGAGGTTTTATGCTAGAAAAAAAAGGTAGGGTGGAAGTCTCTGAGTTGCTTTCTTAGCTGAACTAATTCTGAAAGATCAATATATGTTAAGAGGGACTTACTTCAGAATTGAGTGTATCTATACATACCTAGGTAAGATTTACCTTCTAAGATTTTTATTAAAATGTGGTTAAAATAGAGCCTATAGCATATCCCTATGTCCCTAAGAACAGCAATAATCTTTCCTTAAAAACATGGAGCCTCTTAATAAGTGTAACCTGTTCCTTGTAATGTAACCTGCCATCATAGTATGTGCCTGTTCTATGGCAGACACTTGAAAGACTCCCATCCACTGAGCTCAGGTACAGAACATGTAAGTGCACTGTGGTACATAATTAATTCTGTATCACAGAACTGAAATACATAGTAAATCATGACACAGTATTAATAAGCTTTTATAAGTTCTTAAAAGCTCTTTTTTTTGGATAGCAATTTTTTAAAATTGCATTTTAGGTTTGGGGTACATGTGAGGAACATGCAAGATTGTTGCATATGTACACACATGGCAGTGTAACTTGCTGCCTTCTCCCCATCACCTATATTTGGCATTTCTCCCCATGCTATGTCCTCAACTCCCCAACCCCTACTGTCCCTCCCCTATTTCCCCCCAACAGACCCCAGTGTGTGATTCTCCCCTCCCTGTGTACCTATGTTCTCACTGTTCAACACCCACCTATGAGTGAGAATATGCGGTGTTTGATTTTCCACTCTTGTGTCAGTTTGCTGAGAATGATGGTTTCCAGGTTCATCCATGTCCCTACAAAGGACATGAACTCATGGTTTTTTATGGCTGCATAGTATTCCATGGTGTATGTGTGCCACATTTTCCCTGTTCAGTATATCAGCAATGGGTATTTGGGTTCGTTCCAAGTCTTTGCTATTGCAAACAGTGCTGCAATGAACATTCGTGTGCATGTGTCCTTCTAATGCTACTTTTAAGTACCAAGATATTTATGATGCAAGTGTTCTAAAAACCCATTTTGAGAAATTCCCACCATATTATTACCTGACTGTGATTATGAAATTGGACTTTTTATCCTCCAGATTAGGTAACTACAAGATTTGTACAGAAACTTTGTTTAGTGACATGGGCTACTGCACTTCTATCCAAAATAGATTCCTCTGCTATGTCTTTATCCTGGCAGGTAAATCATGGACCTAAACTGTATCTCACCATCCAGAAATAAAGTAGCAACTAACTCGATAACACAGATAAAAAGTTGTTCAAGCAATTCAACCAATATATTAAAATGTGAAATGCTATCTTATCTCTAAAACAAGCACATGCCAACCAAAACTAGTGACTCCTAGGTTAGTGATCCATAATGTAATACTCCTACCTGGGGGAAGAAAAATGATAGAAAACAGACAGTTCAAGGTCCATGCTATGCGTTTTACCAAATCAAGTTATGTATTACCTAATTTATTCAACAAATAATTCATCAAAACATTACCGTGTTCTGGGCTCTGTTTTAAGTGCTGGGAATGGAGAGAGAGAGAGAGAAAAAAAAAAAAAAACTTCATCAAAAATCTCCAACATGTAGAGATTCATTTTATTTAAGAAATTTTTTTGTAAAGTTGAATAGAGTTAGTGTTTATTTCTTTTAATGAATATGTAAACTTAACTAGGTATCTGAAATTAGGCCTCAATATTTGCAATGTGAGAAATTTTTTTCTACAGTAATAGTTTGTTACATAGGATAAACTCACAACAGAAATTAAGGAAATATGCCTAGTTGATTTTCTATTCCCTCCTGCTTTGAAGGGTAAAACTGCATTCTACATTAAAATAGAATATGAATGTACCTTACATTTTCAAACAGTTTTAAATGATAGATTTCTGGATTTATAGAAAAGTTCTCAGATTCTAACATGACTTTTCCAGAATACATTCAGATTTAATTTTTGCAGTGGAGTCACTTTTCAGTATAAAATACATTTTTTACGATGCAGAGATTTTTTCTCTTTTTATGTTAATTAACTGGCATAAACAAGAAAGACTCCTGAATTTTTTTCTGTCAGCCTTTTCCTATAGGCCATGGATATCTACTATATACTAAGGGTTTATTAACATATTTTACAAGGAGCTTTGTTGAATACCTCAATTGTGCCTCAACAAATACTGATCGAATTTAAGTAAATGACAGAAAATGTATCTTATAAACATCTAAAGTCCCATTAGCCTTATTTTTTTCCTTCATAGCTAACATGCTTCAAAAGCAGTGTGACTGGAAAATGTTGTAATTCTCAACTGATGGGTTATTCATTTTTTCCATCTAAATTTTACAGCAATATGGGTTGTCCTTATTTTAATTTAAAAAACCCAACACCCTGACAATGAGTATTCATGTTATTCTATTAGCATAAGTAGTCTTTCTTTGACCTTCCACAATACCCTACTATGAAAAATTACTTAAAAAAAAAAAAATCAATCCTGTAGTGATGAGAAAGAACATCAATCCTCTAATTTGCTGGTTTTCAGATGGTGCTCACTAGAGTCTCGGGGACCACCTGAAGAAGACAAAAGATGTTCTGTGCAGCTGAAATTCCAACCCAACACCTGGCACTCACCTAGTTCAGTTCAATTTTTCTCTATTTTGTTTCACTGAGCTTCTGTGTGCTCTTTCAGCTGCGTAACATATTTAGCTTTAAAAAGAAGTTCCATAGAAAAAGAATCCTAAACTCAGATCTACACATGTAATTGTTTTCTCATTCCCAGATCAGGATTCTTAGCTACTTCAAGGTACACTCTGGCTGAAGCTATCACATCCACATGTTGTTTTTCTGTGTTGAAACATAAAATAGTAAAAAAAAAAAAAACAAAAACAAAAACAAAAAAAACCCCACAACTATCAGAACACAGCCAGTTGGCCACTATCTTCAATAACTTAAGACAGACAACACATAATGTTCTCCCATCTTTCCCTTCAAAATAAAGCGGCAACTTGAATGTTTAGCAAAACTTGCATTTTAAAGACAGCAGGAAGTTTATTAAGTACAGATTTTTCAGAACTTTTTCTTTATTATATACATACAGGAAAATATTCTTTTCTGGATACCTATATAAAAATACTGGATAATGGTATAAAAATAGCTAAAGAGAAACAATCTTACCACATTGTGTTTTTGAAGTTACAAACACCAAATAGAGACTATTTTGTTTCTTTCGTTCTTAAACAGATGCTAAAATACTTGGACCTCAAAAAAAAAATATTCCCTCAACTAAAGGAAACCTCAAAAGTCATTCATTCCAGTAATGTTGTGATTATACAAAAACTTCAGAAACTCCTAAAAAAGCACTTTCAGACAATAGAACACAGCCGTTAAATTTCTTCCATAACTGGTTATTAATCTTTTACGGCTTGAAGACAGTTTTGACATTTAGAAACAAGAAGTTCAATCAATTAGGTCTGTACAGTGTAGTAAGAGACCAAGCTAATTAAAAATACATGGGGCCGAAAATAACTAAGTTAAAGGGACTCAAGTTGTTGTGCAGACTAGATGAAATCTCATGAAAATAGTAGTGTTTACTTGGGCCTGTCAAAGCAAGACTACTCCAGGGAAGCATGACAGCTGATTCCTATTCCTAGAGCCAGTCCTGTGTTCTTCAGTGCTCATCATCCTTGAAGGGGAGAGTGGGATACTGGAGTCATTTTCTATACTGCATGGTGATTTGAAAGGAGAGAAAAAACAAACTAGTACCTCTAGACCCCAGAAGAGATAGCACAGGAAGGTGACATCAACCCAGAATGTTTTTTACTTTTACCAAAACGTATTTATAAAATACAAAACACAGACCAGCCTGGCCAACATGGCAAGAGTTCGTCTCTACCAAAAATACAAATATTAGCCAGGCATAGTGGTGTGTGCCAGTAGTTCTAGGTATTTGGGAGGTTGAGGCAGGAGAATCACTTAAACCCAGAAGGCAGAGGTTGCAGTGAGCTAAGATCATGCCACAGCCCTGCAGCCTTGGCAACAGAGCAATAATCCATTCAAAAAAAAAAAAAAAAAAGAAAAAAGAAAGAAGAAGTAATTAAATCAAATAAAGTACAAAATAATCCTTCTGGAATTTCTGGGGGCAACTGAAATTCTACTGCTACTGAAATTCTAGTATGACATGAAATCCTCAGAAATTTCAAGTCACTTTCACCCAGTGTGAAGTGAAATCCCTAAGGAAGGTGTATTGCTCCATGTTTTAGAATCCTCCCTTGCTTTACTCTGTACAATGGTAATAACATGCCTCAATTACATCCAAGTGTGTCTTCTACTGTTAGATTTTTGAGTCATGTTCCAAGTACACGGCCATACCATCTGAATCCAGTACCAGTTCAGTGTAATTGTACTAGAATTTTTCAGATCCAATTTTGTTTTTAAAGCAGCATCTTTGCAGTTAGTGCAGAATTAGTACACTAATTTCAAAGTGTAAACTCCATTGCTGTGTGAAACAAACACTGCTGCCATACAAAATAGATCACAAAATTAAAGTAAAAGCCTAAAGACAAATCATACAATGTTATCAAAAGGGATTAAATAATTAGCTATGAAAATATTTAGCTATTTCATAGCTAAATGATTAACTATGAAAATAATTAGCTATGAAAAAGGCAAGTCAAAGACGAGACAAGAGGCAGAGAAAAAAGGGAAGCTGAAAACAACCACAGTATTTACATTCTGGTATCACGTAACAGGAAAAAAAAAATTGATGCTAACAAACAAAAAAACCTCATAATGTCAATCTGCAAGACATTTTCCCCAACCCAGAGCATGATGGGCCTTTTAGACTCCAAGCTGGAGAGAAGAGAGAAATATGAACACCCCAACCAAAAGAAAACATTGAAGATGGAATGAAACATTCAGAGAGTAATGTGCTGATTCCCTTTCATCCACGGATCTCAAGAGTGGTTTACAAACTTGAGGAAGGCTCACAACACACACAAAAGATAAATAATCACAGCCCTAACGATGTTAGACGTGAGACCAGGGAGTACATACTAGTTTGACATATTAGTAGCAATAAAATGCCTTACAGTTTCCACATCTTTTCTTGGTCTTCAAATTAGGTCTGCAAGATAGCCAAAGGGGTTCCAAAAAAATGTGGGTCAGAATCTTTAATGAAACATCTAACTGGAAACTGCCAAAAATGATAATATTTGTATCACTATTGAGATATATATATATGAGTAAAAATGATGAATAAAATGTTTGCCATATATAGAAAAGGATGAATAAAATGTTTGCCTGATAGGCTGATGACAGTTAACCCAGCAGGCAGGCATTTTAGGTTGTCCTTAAGTGAACATTAATACTGCATAAATTTTCTCTACCAGGCAATAATCCAAACATGTCAATATATTTTTAAGAGGTTAAATGACCCCATTTGTGGATGGGAGGGGGAGGTTTATTGTCGTAATTATTAAGCATGCTAAAATCACGGAGTGGCTATTCCATTTTTGCCCCGACTCCAATCCACGGTGGGGCAAATGGGAACTACAGGAGTCACTTGGTTTGTGTGGGCTCTGGGGATGGCTAGACTTGGGAAATAGAGCCAGGCAGGTTAGCAAAGCCCCAAATGTTACAATTCAACATTTGAAGTAATTAAGATTATTCTGAGATAATTGTAGCAGGCAGTGAGGCAGATCGTGTTACTGTGCAAAATAACTCATCAACTTACAGGGGTTTCTGTTTTTAAAAATCAGTAAGGAAATATGCTTACAGACTCAGAATGAATCTTTACTAATCAGATTCTGATGGATGTTTTGTAAAGATTTTCAAAGACTACAATCATTATCTCAAAAGCAGCAATACTTATTTCAAGATTATGAAATGGCCCTTAGAACTCTTATTTCCAAATATACCATTCAATTCAACTAATGAAACAAAGAATCATACTCTAAACCATCTCTGGCCTTGCTAAGAAGCTGCAGTATAATAGTGCCATTATCTTCTTGGCAATAAGTTATCTATTCCCTCCAAATGAAGTACATTAGGCTAGGTGCAGTAGCTAACACTGGTATCCCCAGGACTTTGAGAGGCAGAGGCGGGCGAATCGCCTGAGGTCAGGAATATGAGACCAGCCTGGCCAACATGGTGAAACTGCATCTCCACTAAACATACAAAAATTAGCCAGGTATGGTTGCTGGCACCTGTAATCCAAGCTACTTAGGAAGCTGACACAATAGAATAGCTTGAAACCAGAAGGCAGAGGATGCAGTGAGCTGAGACCGCACCATTGCATTCCAGCCTTGGCAAGCAGAGTGAAACTCCATTTAAAAAAAAAAAAAAAAAAAAGAAGTTAGCCATTAGTAGAGCTGGGCTCTGCCACAGGAAACAGTATAATTCCTCACAGTGCAGCAGAGAGTGGATCCAGCCACTACCCACACTGGGTCACAACTGTGGCAAATAACTTTTCAACCCAATTAAGTTGGAGCAACCACCCAGGGGCTGGAAGGAAATGTTGCAATTCCAAGTTCCTGGAAGGAAACTGGCAATTGGCGGGCCAAGTTGTAGCTTTAATCCAACTGAGTGAAGGAAGGGGGAGAAAAGGCTACTGATACGGTTTGGATTTCTGTCCCCACCCAAATCTCATGTGGAATAGTAATCTCTAACGATGGAGGTGGGACCTGGTGGAAGCTGACTGGATCACAGGGGCAGATTTCTGCCTTGGTGCTGTTGTCGTGATAGTGAGCGAGTTCTCAGAGATCTGGTCATTTAAAAGTGTGTGGGTACCCACCCCTAAGCCTCTGTCCACCTACTCTGGCCACTTGAAATGTCTCACTCCCCCTTTGCCTTCTGCCATGATTGGAAGCCTCCTGAGGCCTCCCAAGAAGCAGAAGCTGCTATGCTTCCTGTACAGCCTGCAGAACTATGGGCTCTTTTCTTTATAAATTACCCCATTTCAGGTATTTTTTTTATCAGTGTGAGAACAGACTAATACAGTTATCTACAGAGAGCAAGATAAAGAAAAAAAGTGAATAAACCAACCTCACAGGTTAAAATGAGTTATGTCTGAGTAAATTATCTCAAAGTGAATTTTCTTGAAGCCAAGCAATAGAAAGGATAATACACTTTGATGTTTCAGTAAATCCATAAGGCTCCTGTAACTACCACTAAACGCGCTACCGGTTTTAAATGTATACCCACGCAAACACATAAAAGTGCAGCAAAGAACCGAAGCAAAGTAATCATTCCTCTTACCTTCCACAGGTCAGGTGATCCTTCTACAAGTTTGGCTTTAGTGCCACAGTATTTTAGGGCCAATTGCAAACACTCAGTTCCAAATTCCAAGTCATAGTCACTACACTGGTGTAGAAAAAAAAAATTAAGCTAAAACAATTTTAAGTAAAACTCAGCCTTTTATTTCATAATCAACTGCAATCAAAGGAAGAGCCTAGAGATATCAAGCTATTTAATCAGCTACTGATTGAGTTATAACATTCCCAATAGCTAAAAGCAAAACAAATTTTGAGTAGGAATACTGCAATCATCATTTGAGTTTCGCAATTCCTATATAGTTTTAAGTATAAAATAGATAGAATACTTTGTTTCCTTTGCATATAAGTTATATTTCCAAACATGTTTATATAGAATCTTATATTATAGCTGAGGATTATCATAATTGTTGATAAATATATATCTACATCTCAATCTCATATCTTGTATTTATAGCAGAACATTTGTAGTTCATAGTTATATTGCTTTAATATTTAAAATATCAATATATCCTTTTTAATTATTTACATTTTGCTTATATGTATGGAACATTTAGCATTTCATTGTGAAACAAAATGTAAAGGTACCACAAAAATTCAGTAAAAATAAAAAAAAAACAAAAACATTTTTTGGCATTTTAAGCAGAGCCATTAAAAAAATCCAAGTAAAATACAATTCAGCTGAGCAATATTCAGGGTACGTATCCTGTCTCCAAGTTCTATTTTAAGCACCAGATATACAAAGATAAATCACGCATGTATTGTGCCCTCAAGGAACTCAGGTCTAGAAGGGGAGGCTGATATCTAACAAAGCAGTTTGCAACAGAACCTGATAGATGCAGCACTAGCAGAATGTCCAGAGGTAACTCAGCAGATAAAATGCTTAATTCTATGTGAGGGCATCAGGAAGCCCTACCAGAGGAAATGGTTTGATCTCCATCTAACAGCAGAATAAAACTGGACAAGGGGATTACGTTTAAATCAAAAGGTGCCATGCAAAGTTACAGAGGTTTGAGTCATTTGGTAGACTTATATTGTTTTTCTTTTTTCTTTTGAGACAGAATCTTGCTCTATCACCCAGACTGGAGTACAGTGGCACCATCTCAGCTCACTGCAACCTCCACCTCCAGAGTTCAAGTGATATTCCTGCCTTAGCCTTCCTAGTAGATGGGATTACAGGGGCCCATCACCAAGCACAGCTACGTTTCTGTATTTTAGTTGAGACGGGGTTTCACCATGTTGTCCAGGCTGGTTTCGAAGTTCTGAGCTCAGGTAATCTGTCTACCTCAGCCTCCCAAAGTGCTGGGATTACAGGTGTGAGCCACCACACCCAGCTGAGACTTATTTTAGATAGGATATTCACGTAAGGATTGCAAGAAGGCAACATCAAGCACCCCATTGCCAGAGCTTTTATTATACTGAAGGTTACAAAATTCTAACTAGTGATTTGTAAAATCAATGAACAAAATATGACCAGATATACATAGAATCTTAATTAGACCAGAAGAGTCCCAGTTTGTATCCTCTATTTTTATATACTACATAAAATAACATATCTAGGTATTTTTAAAAGACTATTATGAACACTAGTTACATTCAAGTAAGTTGAGTTTGGTAAACCTTTGTTTAGTAGTTTGTGATTGAGATGTATGTACAATAAAGGAAGTTCTGTTTAAGACATGGTTAAATCTTAAAAATGACTAGCAATAACCTTAACTCTTTCTGACTCACTCCAGAGGGGCAGAGTATCAAACACATTCCTGAATTGCCTTAAAAGTACTCACAATGTGCCATATTGAAAGGAGTGCATAGAAATAGGCACTTCCTTCCTATCTCAGATAGTGGTGTGAAACATACTTGATGCTCTGTTCCCAGCTACAGTGCCACCAATTGCAAAACGAGTTCATAAACACTTGCAGACTCCTCTTTTGTGACCTCCTATTGGGTGCCCATAAACTAATATTATTTGAAGAAGATTATCTGAAGGAGATTATTTGAAGGAAACCAATAGTGGTGATAAAATGAAATCATTTAACATGGTAAAGTAATCCAAAGGCCAATAGAAAAGTGAGAAAAAGAACCAAGGAAAGGTGGTACAAACACAAAGCAACTAGCAAGATGATTTTAGTCAAGAAAGTTAACGAATGACAGAGGGTATTGCACAAAATATTTTGACATTTGTGATTCACCATGAGAGGATTATAGTTATAATGATATCAATGATCACATGAGAAACATATATGCAAACATATAGACACTGAAAACCATCTGCCTCCCCAAATTTGGCTCCCCAAAATAGTGCCAAACAGCCTTCTGCCTAGGCAAAAGCCTTAAGGACACTTACTAGAGATTCCCCCAAAAAGCCAGGTCAAGTCATTTTATAGAGAAGCACATCAACACACCCCACATAGAAAACTCACCACGTATAACCAGACCCTAAACATGAGCAGAAAACCCACATTTAACTGTCACTCAAGAAAATATTGTAACATGAAAGATCGAAATGGCAAAATAATAATAATAATAATAATAAAGCACTTGAGGAGGCTGTAGTTTTAAAAAAAACTATGGATCTAGGAAGATAAAGAATTTGAAATACATGACCAGGTAATATTTAAAAAGGTAGAAAATGAAAGAGCTGTATAACTCATCAGCAAAGTCAAATATCCAAATAAAAAGATTGAAATTTCAGGAAAAACAGGAAAAAAGGAAAACCAAGTAATTCAAGATATTCCAAAAACGCACAACACTGAATTTCCAGATTAAGAGAAATTAGAGTATGGAAGCTAATGGGTGAAAATATGCCAAAACCATTTAACAAAAATTCTCTAACAAGCTGTAATCCAAATAAGCTGGGACTTCATAAAAACAATAAAACTTATAAGAAGCCAATTATTCACAATTCTTAGGTTAATGATTTTAAACAAAGAATTCTACTCCCAGAGAGCTATCAAATTTGAGGGCAGATTATGAACTTTTCCTTACATCCAAAGTCTCAAAGAAATTTTATTACTCATGCATTGTTTTCTTTCCTACACATTTTTTAAGACTTTAAGTATTAGGTTAACAGCAAAATGTAACAAAAGGAAAAGATTGTCATATACCTTTGAGCCCCCACATACACACGACCTCTCCTACTATTGAAACCTTGTGAACAGTGGTATGTGTATCCACATCAGTAAACCTACACTGACACATCTTTATCATTCAAAGGCCACAGTTTACATTATGATCCATGCATAGTATAATACATTCTGAGTTTTCAAAAGTGTACAGTGATACACATCTATCTCTGTGTTAAATACAGAATAGTTTCACTACAGTGAAATTTCTGTGTACCACCTATACATATCTCCTGCCCAACCCCTTGCAACCACTCATCCTTTCAACACCTCCATAGTTTGTCTTTTCCAGAAATTCATAGCTGTAATTATAGAATATTTGGCCTTTTTACATTGGATTCTTGCACACCAAAACATTCATTTAAATTCCTTCCATACCTTTTGGTGACTTTATAGCTAATTTCCTTTAAGGAGCGAATAGTATTTCATCATCTCAATGTACCACAGTTAATCCCCTACCTAAGCTATCTACGTTGGTTCCAGTTTTGGCAATTATGACTACAGCTGCTATAACCATTCATGTGCACTTTTTTTGTTTTGTTTTCTGTTTTGTTTTGTTTTTTGTTTTGAGACAGAGTCTCACTCTGTAGCCTAGGCTGCAGTACAGTGGCACGATCTCAGCTCACTGCAACCTCCACCTCCCGGGTCTCAGTTCAATCAATTCAGCAGCAATTCTCCTGCTTCAGTGTCATGAGTAGCTGGGATTACAGGCACGTGCCACCATGCCCAGATAATTTTTGTATTTTTATTAGAGATGCGGTTTGACCATGTTGACCAGGCTGGTCTTTAACTGCCGACCTCGTGATCCACCTACTTGGGCCTTCCAAAGTGATGGGATTACAGGTGTGAGCTATGGTGCCCAGCCCATGTGCAGGTTTTTAATGTGGACATAACCCATTTGGATCTTATGATAGGAGTATATTTTGTAAGATGCTGCCAAACTGTCTTATAAAATGACTGTCACTTTGCATTTTATGTTTTATATTTAGGTCTGATCCATTTTGAGTTAATGGTTGTGACAGGTTGAAAGTGTATGCCTAGATTCATTTTCGGTATGTGGTTATCTAGAGCAGGCGTCCCCAAACTTTTTACACAGGGGGCCAGTTCACTGTCCCTCAGACCGTTGGAGGGCCGCCACATACTGTGCTCCTCTCACTGACCACCAATGAAAGAGGTGCCCCTTTCTGAAGTGTGGCAGGGGGCCGGATAAATGGCCTCAGGGGGCCGCATGCGGCCCACGGGCCATAGTTTGGGACGCCTGATCTAGAGTGTGAGCCTAGATTTATTTTTGGTATGTGGTTGTCTAGTTGTTCGAACAACATTTGGTTGAAAAGACAGCAAATCTTTGCTACATTGTATGGCATTTGCTTTTCTGCCAGAGACCAATTGATTATAGTTATGTGTTTCTATTTCTGGGGTATTTCATTCAATTGATCCATTTATCTATTCTTTAAGCCAGTACCACACAGCCACAATTCCTGCAGCTTTACAGTAACTCTAACAGTCAAGTAGTGTCAGTCCTCCAACTTTATTCTTTGCTTTCAATATTGCGTTAGCTATTCTAGGTCACGTGCCTCTTCAAATAAACTTTAGAATAAGTTTGTCAATACTAAAAAATACGTTGCTGAGATTTTGATTGTGATTGCAATCAGATTTGTAGATCATGTTGAGGAGAATTTACATCTTGACAACTTTGAGTCTTCCTATCCACAAACACGGGACAGCTCTCCTTTTATACAGTTCCTTGAAGTCTCTAAGAGTTTTGCAGTTTTTCTCATAGAAGTTTTGTACATTTTGTTTGACTTATGCACAAGTATCATTTTGGGGGTTGCTAATGTAAACAGTAATATATTTCTATTTTCAAATTACACATTTGTGATGGTACAAAGGAAGGCAATGGACTTTTGTTTATTTGCTTAGTATCCTGAAGCTTTTCCATTACCGTCCACTAATTCCGTAACTTCTGTCA